TTAGTCTCTGACAGTACAGATTATTGTCACAGGCTCTGGTTGCAAACTTCATATAACACGTCAGCACCGTGTTCGGTCACATGTCCTTCTTCAGTAGTCGTCTCTAAACACAAACTGTCCTTCATCCTTGGGCTCACTCACATGTGATGGATGTGTTTGGGGTCCATGAAGGGATCTGAAGAGTCTCAGCTACACGCAGGATGGCGTAAGGCCACTCTCGCTGCAGTCCTCTACTGTCACATGGTCTAATCTACCACCACCCATTGGGCTGAAGCATCATCTTGACAAACCTCTCAAATTCTGTCTGGCAATGAGCCGGCAGTGGTCTCGGCCCTTTGCACAGCTATTTTTACTTGATTTCCTCTCGACGACTCAGTGAAATGTGGGTCTCGAATAAGTTAAATCAAATCATTTCGATCAAGACGATTAAAGAATGTAGAAAAGTTTGTGCTGATATTTACCAGATCAGTCAGGCTGCTGAATGATGCTTAACACTGTCAGCACACTGTATCTGAACAGGCAGCATTTTGTATTATGTGCATGTGTGTTTACAACATTACTCAGGCATGTTCAAGCTTTCATCCTGATACGTTTTACATTTAAAATGATTCTGGACAAACTTTAGATCCATCCATCAGCTTCCACTTATCCTTTTCAGGGGGCGCTGGAGCCTATCCCAGCTGTCACAGGGCGCCCTGTCCACCCTGGACAGGTCTGTCGCAGGGCTAACTCACATTCACACCTATGGGCAATTTGGATTAATCAACTAACCTATCCCCACAAGCTGCATGTCTTTGGATGATAAATAAATTCATGCACTCCACAACTGCTAAAAGAGACTGCAATTTAATTTTAGCTTTAAAAAGAAAAGAATAACTACTGCTACTAACTGAACATATTTTAACTGGATTTTTTTCCTGCCTGCCCCACAGTTTGAGAACCGCTGCTTTAAATCAACTGAAACTGAAAAGATGTTAAAAACGATGAGACCAAAACGAAAACACGATGACTGGGGCAGGCCTGTGCCTAATATTTCGACTGCTTTCCTTGCAACACCCTCAGACTGTGTGAGTGCTCACAGACGGGCTCTTGTGTGCTGCAGACACTGCAGCTTTCATGCTGATGCAAATTAAACTCTGGTCTACGCCTGTTGTTGTAACAGACTACAAGGAAGCACTTAATTGCTTAAATGTCCACTCCAGCCTTCACTGCTTCCTTAAGTGCCCGTCACACTTGAGTCTAACTAAACGTCCTAATAGAGCAGCTATACCTCTAACGTATAACAGATGATACCTCTAACGTGAAAATGAAGGCACACGTGTGTGTGATGGCATTGTGAGTACCTGGGGACAGTGGACAGGTAGGTTACCAGCCTCCTCAGGTCCTCGGGTTTTATTCGGTCGTGGTTGCTCCTGGCAGGAAACGTCAGGATTGGTCCTCCTCGTTTATCTCGTCCACCTGCAAGTAGATGCACAAGAAAAACCTTAAAGCCAAAACACGTGTTAATGTGAAGTGTAAGTAAAGTGTTACCACTTTGTTAAGTGACCAATCACACCTTCACAAATAAACCAGCTGACCAATTAAAATCTAACGAGGTGGTATTGGCTGATTGGTTAAGCCACAAACCAAATCAGCAGGGGCTGCAGAGGTGTTGAGCAGCAACGCTGTCCTCAACAGTTCTGTTGTTCAGGTGTCGCACAGTTTTCTTCTCAGCGTCTTTTTAACATGGTTGGAATGGATCAGAGTGATGCAAGTTTCAAAATAAAAGCAGGGGGACAGTGAAGCACATGTTCACTTCTGGGCAGATCTTCCAAACTTCCAACGTTAGATTGCGCTTGACAAACTATCACTGGTGTGTCTGTTTGGATGTTTGCTTTGGCAGTGAATGAGGAGAGAAGTTCCCATGGTGTGAATAGATTGGATGATCTTCCGTCTGCCTTTCCTGCCTCAGGATGTGCGTGAGTCCAATGAGCTTTTCACGTGTGCAGATATGTGAGTAATAATATACTCGACTCACAGAGATGCTAATATATTCTAAATAGGACTGTGGACTGTGGTCTTACTGGTCCTTTTCCTTATGACTGAAAAAATCCCATTTTTTGTCTTCAACATGAAAAGATTATATAAATTTCAAAACATTCTTAACTATCAAACAAAGTTACTAAACATGAAGAATCGCTGCTAATGCTTCAAACACCTCTGTGTTTGTCCTGCATGACCATGGTGGTGGGGACAGGCTCTTTGCTGTAGGACACTCAAGGGGTTGAGGTAAAGTTCTCCTGAAACAGACTGGAGGGTTGTGGAGTTAACGCCAACAACACTGACTGACACTCACCTGACACAAAGGCAACTTTTTCCTTTAAAATAGGAAGAACATCAGAGGCCTTGATGCCTTCAGTCCTGAAGGGCCCTGGAGAGACGCAGGGAGAGAGAATATCAGCATGAACCAACACTGTAATCTGTTACGCACGATCTGATATCCTCGTGTTGGTGTTGTTCCCAGATCATCATACTAAAGGTTGTTCCAGGATCAACA